ATTATTCGATACTTGAATCAGAATAATGCAGCTCAAAGAAACCAGCCATCATTTCAACGCATATTTAAGCATAAAAGAAAGATGCATTGTGATACTATCAAGATGTTGATATTGGTTACTGCAGGGTACATGATAACCAGTCTACCTATATTTATCGCGTATATTATGATAGCTTTCAGTGGTTTAAATTTGGTGGATTATATCATTCATTTAAATGATATGCAAACTAGCGTAGCTCAAATTGCTTACATAATTTTGCCATTAGCCTGTTGTCAAAACCCGCTAATTTATCTTTATTATAATAAAGCCATTCGTAATGCATTATCATCACAAATACGTCGATTGTATAATCGACTAACAGCAAAAGTAGATATTAATAACAATCGTAAGTATCCTAAGTCTCACAAGATCTTGAAAGTTGCAGAGGTAGGACAAACTGAAATGAAACCCATCAATGTAAAATGAGATCAAGATGATGGTATTATATGGCTTCAATGGCATTATGAACACATTACACCTTTTTTTTAAGTTACTTTAAGTTGCATGCATGGCCTTAAATCAGTTGTAATACTAAGTTCAAACAAATACAAGAAGAAATTGTGCAATGCACCTTAACCAAATTTGGTTACTTCTAAGGTTTCTTGCTCTAATTCACAGCTAAAACAAATTCATTTCACTTCAATAAATTTACATAATTTTTACCAAGCAATTGCACCACATTACTTTCCGAAATTAAATATCTATTCCTTGCGCTTTGTATACATATCCGTTTTTTGACAAGCATCTAAGCGTTCATATTTAATTTATTTAATTAAATAATCAGCCACGAGATCGTGATGCTAGACGACTTTCAAATTGGAAAGCAGAGAAATAAACATACTCGTAGCTTATTTATCATCGTCGAGTAGCTAAGTGATATAAGAAATTCTAGAAAACTGTCTATTATTATATCAGATTATGCTATTTATTTAAAGCTAACATTTCTTTCAAATGATGAAACCAAAATTAATTATGTTAATATTTTAAACGTACTTTATGCCATCACTAAATACGAAAATTACTTTAATTTAATTATAGTACGCACTGTTTAAATTTAGAAGTAAAGTTGCACTATTTATATGAAAACACGTTCATTTTTTTTGAGATATAATCTAAAAAATACGATTTGCATTCAAATAAATTTTACTATTCATTGACGGTCGGATTATTGTATCGAACTATAACATTTAAATGAATGGGATAACTAGTACTGAATTACATATTCAGCTTAGAATATAGTACGACTGTTTCATTTTTAATGTAGTATTTCTTCCAATGTTAAACAGTCCGAAAAAGCCGATTGAACATATAGCTCACTTGATACTTCAATTTAAAAGAGTAGTTTAATTCATAACTTTTATGATATACTTCGCGTTTAAATACCAAATGGGCCAACTTCCCTTTTAATAGCAAAGTTAGATTTTGATATTAATTAAAACTCGAATTATATCGATTAGTAGTCGATACTGTTGCAGATAGTCTAGCGGCTTTAATTTTCTTTCTTTCTATAACTGTATTATCAAGGTATGATCTTTCGCTTAGCAATTCAGTAGATAATGTAAATAATAATTGCTCTCAAAAGTACATCAGACTTATACATATGAAAGTCTAAGAAATGAGTTAATAGTAGGGCATAGCTAGTATAGTCTAGCCGAAATAAAAAATTAAGGATTATCGTTTGTATCAACAATACTTTAACTATTCCTATTAGCCTATAATATGTTAGTAAATACTTTTAGCTTATCATACATCAATATTATTATTGATATTCATTATTTTTATTATGAGCTATACTTTACATTCCCTTATATGTTACTAAATTTCCTATTTTTAATATTTTATATCTGATTAAACAGCAGACCTTAGCATCTATGAGTTCCAAGAATAAAGAGTTGCTTTTAATAATAAAATCTAGGAATAAATTGATTAAATAATAAGGGTTATCATTCTGATGATAGTAAAATTATATAAGCAATATGATGCCGTAAAGAAAAAGTATCAAAGCTAGTTATTGGCTCTTTCTTTTAAAAAGAAATTATTTAACTTGTTTGTTAGCTTTTTCGAATGGCGTAGTATGTATTTGTTACATTAATAATTCAATTATCGACACGGTTTAAAGCATAAAACAAATAGCGCATCCTGTTTACTTCTTTGAATATATTGATTGCAGTTTTAAATTGATGAAGTAGAAATGCATATTAGCATAGCTCTTTCTTAATGAAATCTGTTCTGAAATTGATTACAAATATACCGCTCAATTTCGGCTGCTAAAAATCTTTAAGACAAAATGTTTGAATCTATATTGGAAAGATAATACTTTCAGTATACTGATTGCAATTACGGCCTCCATAAGTATGAAATTATGAGAAAAGAAAAAGTTTAAACAAATGAAAACATAAATGCTAGATATATCAGTTATTCATAGGATAGGAAGTTAAAATGCTTGTTACCTGAGTTCATTAAATATTAATGTTTATCGAGAAGTAAAAACTATAAACTTCTTGTTTACATCTTCGATTAACGTCATTAGCAATCTATTCTATTCACATTTTTCGATTAATATTTAGCCCAAATCATAAACATTGTGATCCATGGACCAGTAATATTGAAGTTGCAGGAAGGTAATTTTTTTTGAAGGATTGCTTAACGCATAGTTATCGGAAAATAATAAACAGTGTTACTAAGATGACATACGCTTAGGAGGGTAATTAAACTCAATTTAATAGAGTTATAAGATCAATGCCATCAGCACCATTTGTGGTAAAATTATCCAAGGTAGGATTAAAGGAGAGATTTTAAAAAGCATTTTTATCTTTTTTATGCATCATATGCGATTTTATTATTTCTTCCGAGTTGCCCAACAGATTTCGATTCGGAAGTATTTTAAACTTTAATTGGCAATCTCTGGCAAATGCGTGTCTAAATACTCCGAGATTAATTGAGTAATGGTATCTTAAATTTTTATCGTGATAAACTATAGACCTCTATTAAGCATTTTACTAACTCTAGTTAACGTTGAAAAACTGAAAAAATTAAGCTAGCATTATTAGTCAAGCGTTTTTTTACAAGAAAAATTAAGGAAACATCTATTTCAGTTAGTACAAACTAAAATATATAGTAAATAAATGATAAGCTCAGGTGAACTACAAGCATACCTTAAATTTATTAAGGAGTCGTTAAAAATAGCTACTTTGGGAGATTCTTAAATTCATCTCGTATACATTGTAGAAACTAAACGCTATATGAATTAATAAGGTATACTGCATACTGCGATAGTAGGAGATACTCCTATACTTTTGAATAACTATAATAATTTTTATCTCTCTCGGTCAATGTAAAGTAGGAATTAAACTTATAGACATCGATCTTCCATTGTGTATTTTTCTCTACGAAGCAATCAGATCTATTAATTTAAGTTATTACAATTAAACTAAATATCTAATTTCTACTCTAATGCGCACTTTTAATCCATGAGAAGGCGTAGTTTATACGCAATGCGCTAATGTGATTGATAACTCCTATGTAGAGGAACAATTGATGATAATTTATATAAGTTGTATAGAATTGTTATCGTGATTATCCGGTTTATCTTAGCTATTTTCGACTATTATTATGATGGGAAGAAATTGGAATTCTTCTCCGACGGACGACACACGGACGTTAATAAACTTAACTTTAACAAGTCAATTATACGGTGTTAACTATTTTGTGTTACATTAGGGATTTGCTCGATTTTAAAAACTAAGAATTTTGAGTTGACTGATTACGAAGCTAAGGCTAACAACTCGTACACTACATAATTTGGTGCTGTGAGTAAACAGACTATTTTGTGTCACATCAGGGATTTGCTCGATTTAAACAACTCAGAATTTTGAGTTGACAGATTACTTAGGCTAACAACCCGTACACTAAATCAGTTAATAGATATTCTGAAGTTTATGTAAACAAGATACTGTAGCGATAATAATTTTGTGCTATTAGAATTTTTGATGCATTCTATGTCCAACTGTCTATTTATGAGGCTTTTTAAAGTTATAGCGAATTAATTGGCATTGTGTAAATAGGAAAGTATTACAAAAGTGTAACTCTAGTAGTTTCTCAAAGTACAGATATAAACTATGCCCAATTTCTCAAATATTTTTTTAATCAGTTATCTTACTGGATTTTAAGGAAATCTAAAATAAATACGTAATAGTCAATTAATACTTTAAATTTCTATTTACATTAGAACTAGGATTCACTATTTATTCGCGGCAAGGTCTCTGCAAAGATCTATACTAAAACTAAACATACAAATCTGTATTTGGTGTTGCTACCATAGACATAAAGAACACTTGCACAACGATTAGGCATGCTGGCAACGAGTTATTCTAAAAACAATGTTTTGATAACATACCATTCTTTTGAACTTTCTCCCATAAATCATTCATGATACGCGGATTTTACTTATGAACTCTTCTGTTCATAAAGTCCTATATATTTTCAGTAGAATTTAAATCAGGAGACTGCAATGGCTATTTCATAATATTAACTTCATTTTCCTGAAACCAGTCTTTCGTTAATCTTGCTACATGTGGAGCGCAGTTGTCTTGTTAAAAAATCGAACCCTTACGAAGCGCGAATGAATCTTTCCTTGGAATTGTAGCTTTCTAAGAATGTTGTATATCCCTTGGCATTTATACTACGATCGGTTCTATGGAGTAGTCCAAGATCTTAATGACAGAAATAACCCAGACCGTGATTTCTCTTTTAGTAGACTTCACCGTACGAGCTATACAATTTTCGTTAAATTCTTCTCCTTGCATTTTCCGAACGTATCAACGTACGTCTGACTTAAAAGAGGAAAATTTTGATTCATCACTGAATAGTACTTTCGCCTACTGTTCTTCAGTTCAATTTTGATGCTTTTTTGCGAACTTAATACGATCTATATGACGAATTGGCGTAAGATGACGCTTAGATCATGGCCTACGTCCATATAAGCCAACCTTTCGCAAGCGTCTCGAATTTGTGGTTACAGATACATTTAAACCGTATTCTTCTCGTAATGCTACAGAAATTTGTGGTGCTGTTTTGAAGCGATCGACGTTAGGCTGAATTATGATCAAATCATCTTCCTTTAGTGTAGTTGACTTTGGTCCTCCAACACTTTTTAGGTAATAGAGATAGCTTCTTTATTTCGATTTGTTCAAAATGTTAAAAATGGTACGTACTACGGCTGTAAAATCTAATCTCTGACTAATTTGACTATTGCTACAGCCTTCGTCTTTCAGTACTACAATCTTGGTTTGGGGAGCTAGGTCAGCTCTACGACCAAGCATGTTCTAATTACGATTAAAAATTGTAATGCTAGATAATAGAATTGCAAGCCAGAAATTATAGCAATGATGAATCTTTTTGCATACTCTTCATTTACCTTATTGATCAGTTTTATACCACAATGGTTATAGAGTTTGCTAAATCATCAAAGACTACATATTCTCCTCTCTTTACATCTTAAGGTAATTTTGAATACACGAGCGGAGGTCTAGTTATAATAATAAATTTATCCGGAATCAACAAATATTTGAATTGTTCTTATTGATTTATACAGCATTGTCTCTACATCATTCACTAACCATTTTAAAACAAAATTGATAAATATTATGCTGACTTTAAAACTGTAAATATTCAATTATAAGATTGCACCGTATTTACAAACAACCAACAGGCTACTTTTACTTTTAGCTAGCGTTCTCAAAAATAAGTATAGTGTTTGCTGTATAATTGTCACAAATCCCACTTGTGATTTATTTATGTCAGGCGCTATAATAATCGTGTATGTCTTCCTCTAACTTGGAAATCTTCTTCTAGGGAAAAACGAACTCTTTCCTCACAGTTACACAACTACTCAGGTTTCTTTCAAACCACTAGCACTTTTTATTCACCAGTCATCTGGTTTCTAGTCTCTACTAGTTCGCCCTAGCCCGGAGCGACTACTGCTAGCGAATGGCAATTCGCTCGGCCTTTTATACCATCCCACTCATTTGTGGGGCATACTAGTAAATTGCTCCTTCCACAAATTGTATAAGTTACTATAGGGAGTTACTCCCAGACAATTAACATGATTTAGTATGAGCTTATGGTTGTCTACCAAAATGGTAAACAACCGGGTTAATTAATTATTATTGCCTAATTTATAATTTACGGAGCTACACTTCGTAACAATAATGCAATGGCGTAAAACAGGGTAATTTCGACTTCTTCTAAAGAGTTTATTCAAAATATTGAATATAACATTTAGCGCTTATATCTTCTAAGAACATCGTAAATCGCACTTTATGTCTTAGAAAAAAATTGCACTCGACAATATCCCAAAAGCTTTGCAATTTTAATGACCGTAATATAGCGTGGGGCTTATTAATAAATAGAATATGCAATTTTTGTTTAAGAGCCTCATTGAAGCAAATATCATTGTACTATTTATAAGCCTACAAACCACTTTATTCCATATTTAATTTTTTTGCATGCCTCGTTTCCATTTAATAATAAGATTAGCAACCCAGAATCAATTTTCTTTTTAACTTTGACCCTTTTATTATCAAACACCGCTTCAATTCCTTTGTGCAGCTTGAGTTGGATTTTACAATGAATTATTGCGCTACGCGCCGATGTTGTACTTTGTATTCGTAGCATTACTTAGGAACTAATTAAGATAATCCAGCTCGTATTCGAAGCATCGAAAGCAAATACTGTTACTGTTAGAGGGAAGAATTTCATTCTATTAACTGTATATCCTACTGATATATCAGTATTAAGAGCAAAGTAGATTAGTTTCCGTATATATTAATCAAAGTAAGTAACATTCTTAATTTTTTATACTATTGGTATAGCATATCCTGGAGGCTGTATAAAATTGAGGCAAAAGGCATTAATTCATTAACTAACCTAGACTATAATGCTATCTATCTCAATTTCAACAGATTTAAAAATATCTGCAGTCTAAATTTACCAATTCTAGACTTTGTTTTTAATCAACTTTGGATTGTTGATAGCCCATTCTTCTATTAAAGAATTTATTGATATCAAAGGCATCATGAATAAGACTGTCGAATATATTAAAATGGAAGTCGTAAAAGTGATTTTCGCTACCATGTAATGAAAGAGTCTCAAATTAACCATCTTAGTCGAATAGTATTTTCTAAAAGGTTTTTATTACTAGGTTTTAGGAATAGTAGAGCCATAATTAATTACTAAAAGAATATAGCCTAAAATCTAAAGTATTCCGGGTTCAAAGCGAACTGAAGTCTCTTCTCTCTCGTAAGCTCATCTCTACATCCTTTATATACATTTCGCTAAATCCATTTATGACAACTTGATTAATCTACAATCAGACATGAGTCATCAAACAAAATACTTTTCTCAAATAGTACATCATTATCTTCTGCAATCTAAATTATTCTGCTTAAGATGTCATCACTCTTCTATTAACGTCTAGCCCCTTTCTCTGAAGGGCATCTTAACAACTACAGTGTTTTTAGCCATACAAATCTTATTCCGTAATTATTCAACTGGCTAATATCAGTCATCAACAATTTCTAATATGGTCATTAGCGATCATCTAATATTAGTTTCACGATAATATCTATTCAGAGTAACCTAACTACATCAAATATAGATATCCTTATAATCAAATATGGGTGCATCACGACATAACATCTTTAACATTTAATTATAAATGCATGCATTTGTTGCCGATTGTTACGCCTGGAAGTCATTGTAATTGAAATATGATAAAGTGTCACCTATTAAATATAATAATGAACAAACCAATTATTTTAGTAATCAACTTTCAATGCGATCTATGTTAATATTATCTTTTGCAAACTCATTGTAGATTCTAGAAGGCCTGTGAGAATAGTTAATCCATACGTGTATTAAGTAATTTCATCGTGTCTATTTACATATAGATTCGTTCTACTTAGGCTATCTAAAATACGCAAAACTTAAAGTTACTGAAATTTTGAAGAGATAAACCCTCACATATACGATAAGGACGTTAACTCTGCTATAATATATCTAAACTTTAGCAAAATTCCCGTCGATAGAAATCTAACTACGAAAAATTCCAATGGCTCTAGCACAATCACATTGGCTGCTCTACCTTTTACTCTCTTTCTCTGCTTTGTCGGTATCGTACTTAACAGCATCATTTGTTACACGATTATTCGTCGTTCTAGTCTTCATGTTCCTACATATATATTCATATGTAATATGGCAATATCCGATACGCTTGCGTTAGTAGGAGTGATTATTTATTCATTTATGACCGTGTCACGGTACCTTTTTGCCGTGATGAGTTAGAAGTGTTATGGTGTTTGTTATAGATAGTAATTGAAGTGTTATGGTGTTTGTTATTGATGGAAATTGATGTGTTATGATGTTTGTTAGTAAGGTGTTTTGATGATCAACTGTCCTTAGTTATTTTGTATGTATTCGAATAGGAGGATAGACTAGATAAATATAAATCTTGATGATGTGCAACCTTTGTGTTAGAGAGTTGTTTATGCTGACACGATTTGTAGTCGTGTTGTAAGATTATTACTGGATAGGAGGTTATGGTTGTGAGATCTCCTACGTGAGATTAATGTAAATAGTAAATATCTTAGAAAGTATATAAAGGCTAACTATGATGCCATGTGGAC